ACCAATATCTAAGACACATACAAGCTCTAATTGTGCTTGCAGATAAACTACACCTGGTTGCTGTCACTAGATCAGTTCCTCCTGAAAAAATTCTCTCAACTGGCACGCTTGTTGCTGGGATGGCAAGATAATCTCTTGCCATCAATGCCAAATGTGGATACTCTGACTCATGATTCTGGAGAATAACAAATAACAAAACAAATCGAACTTAAATAGATGTTAAATGTGCATGTTGAAATATGTATCTAAATTACCAAGCTATATTTTAAACCATGACCTACCACCACATGTTAAATATACATGGGGTGGTCCAGACCTAATGTTGCAAGAAAACCCCACAACTACTTTCCATACTCATCCCTTTTCTATATAATTTTTTATTATGATATTACTTAATATTGATATTATCTATAATCAATGTTATTTTTACTATCACTACTATAGATATTTTTATGATTACAATTCTTATTATTCTTAATAACACTGGTACTTGTGTTATTAGTTATTTGTTTTTTTATACTTGATATTTTTTTATATTCCTATTTCCTTCTCCCATTTTATCATCTCATTACATCTCTATCCAAATTTTTTGGCTGGTTGTTGTTATTATTTTCCCAACTAACCTTTAATTAATTAATTTTATTGTAAAAAAATAACAATAATAGTAAACAAATATTGTTCCACGTGACTTGTTACAATTCTATTCCTTTATGAATTGTTACACTCTTCAATTTTATTTTTTTGTAAAACCAAAGCTAAGAATGGTTGGAGTTTTTATGCAAATAGATTCTTTATTTGTATTTCTTTTGTCAAGATTTTTTATAATAAATTGAACACTGGCTTTCCATTCAAATGTTAAGGGTGGAGTGATCACCATATCAAAAATCAGTTATGCAAAATGACTAAAACAATTTTATGTTACACGATTTTATTTTGCAATTTAATAAAGTTATTTATAACAGATAACAAAGTGTTTAAGTACTTCATGACTGTTAGTATTAGTATAAAGGACATATTAAAGCTTCAACTCCTGTAGTATAAAAACTTGAACTAACATAACTGCTCAAAATTTTGAAATAAGTGTCAAAAAATTTATAAAAAAAATAGTAACTACTCTCTATAGCAGATCTTTCTATGATGATGATGATGATGATTAAGGCTCCGAACAGATCAGATCAGATCAGATCAGATCAGTTCAGATCTTATTAAATTGCAATCTGTTTTAAACCAGACCAGATCAGATCAGATCAGATCCTGTTAAATTTGCAATCTGTTTAAACCAGATCAGATCAGATCAGAACCAGATCAGATTAGATCAGATCAGATCCTATTAAAATGCAATCTGTTTTGAACCAGATCAGATCAGATCATAACCAGATCAGATCAGATCAAAACTCAGATCAAAACTAGACCAGATTGATTTATAGATAATTAATATAAAATTTTATTTATTCAAAATTTTTTTTACATATATTCATAATTGATTCTTTAATACCCCCTTCCACCAATATCTAAGACACATACAAGCTCTAATCGTGCTTGCAGATAAACTACACCTGGTTGCTGTCACTAGATCAGTTCCTCCTGAAAAAATTCTCTCAACTGGCACGCTTGTTGCTGGGATGGCAAGATAATCTCTTGCCATCAATGCCAAATGTGGATACTCTGACTCATGATTCTGGAGAATAACAAATAACAAAACATGTGAATTTAATTATCTATATTTATATACAATAATTTAAATAAAAATTTACTTACTTTCCACCAAGTCAATACATCAGTTTTTGGTGGTGCATTTGGTGATTTAAGATATGCATCCAATTCATCATCATCTCTGACAATTTGTTGACGTTTGTAAATATGAGAAGTAAGATCTTCTTCTTCTTCAATATCATTATTTTCAGAATTGCTAAATACAGTCAAATTTGGTGCATATCCAGATTGGTATATATCTTTGATAACTTGATGTGCATTGTTTATAAAATTTGCTTCCCAATTGTTATCTCTATAATAATCTAACTTGAGCCTTGGATCAAGGACTAATAAAAATATCAATTTAGTATAAATTATTGTAGTTTATATTGAACTAAAACCATTATGCTTACTTGTAGCAATAGTATAAACAGAAGCATCAGTCCTAATATAATAAAACTTAAGTTTTTCAATCACTTCTTTAACTTTTCCTTTAATATCACTTGTACCATTTAAATTGTGTTCATAATCTTCAAGATTATCAATTAGCCAATTAAATATAGGAACTGTTGAAGTAAGAGTTGGATAATGATTTGTAGAAATATGTTTAGTTGCACGTGAAAAAAGCTAAATAGCAAAACATATATTAAATTAATAATAAGTTAATATAAAAAAAATTGATGTAATAGTATTGCATCAAAAAAATAATAATTAACTTACATGTAATAATTGAGAAATTTCAACAAGCTTTGACCATTCTTCTTCATTTAACACCCATTTAATCATGTCTCTATCTGCTCTTCCCACACTTTCTACAGCTTATAAACAATAGAAAACATGTTTATATCATTACTCATTTAATAAATTAAAATTAATCATATAAATTGCATTTAAATGCTTATCTCTTTATATTCAATAGCACACATAATCATTTCATACGTAGAATTCCAACGTGTGACTATGTCTAAAATCAATTCTTTATATTTTAAATTGGCTAATTCACAAGCCTTTGAAAACCTTTCCCGTCGTTGCGGAGATGATTTAATTTTTACAATTAATTTACGTAGCTAGAGAATTAAAAAATCATTACGTTAAATATAATAAGTACACCAAGTGCACAATTTACTGAAATAAAAATGGTTTTAAGATTTACCTTCATTATAGTATGGAAACCATTCACGTCATTATCATCAATATTTAAAACTTCATCCTCGTTATTAGCAGCTGTTGCTTTTAGTGATTTAAGTGCATGTTGAACAGCAATATTCATGACATGAGCAAGACAATGCACATGATTATTATCAATATCAAAATTAATACCCTCATTATAACAAATATCAGCTAAAGAACTAACAAATGTATTGTTATTCATAGCGTTGTCTGTTGTAACAGCTAAGAGCTATATTTGGAAATAATATATTAATCAATTAAATTTAATTGAATTAAATATGCTTATTTTTAAAATAATTACCTTTGCAAATATTCCAAGGTCTCTACATGAAGCCACAAATGCTTCTCGCAAGTTATCCCCAGAATGGGGACCAGATAGCTTTACAAAATCTATCAATGTTTCTTGGAGTTGCCAATCAATATTTATCCAATGACTTGTTATTCCTAGAAAAGGAATTGTATTTGCAGAAGTCCAGCAATCTAATGTGAAGGAGATATGCCCTGGGATATTCTAACAATAATGACAATATAATAAAAATTAAAATTTTAATATAAATATAAAAATTGATATAAACACAGTATATATTATATGTTTATATACTTGTAATAATTCTTTCAGATTAGAACGTTCTTTATCAAATGATTTAATAATTTCATTCTTTATAGTATCTGCTGATGGTAAAGGAACTCCAGGCCACAACAACCGCAACAGATTTTTTAATTCTTCATTTTCTATTTCAATGAATGGTTGATTACTACATACAATCCAACGTATAAGAAAATTTCGAAAGCTTTCAGCTGAAAAAGGCTGATAAAAAGAAATTAAAAATAAGCAATTATAAAATTAATTTAACAAATTATTATTCAGAATTCTATACTAACTGGTAATTTTTTTGATTGCACAAAATGATTCAGAGTCCCAGTTACTGTAATGTTTTTTTCATTGGTATTAAGCTTAGTTGGATGTTGACTTCTCAAATGTTTATAAAGATTACCAGTGCTAGAATTACTATGACTTGAAACAGTGTTGAACCTCTGAAAAATATATTATTTCAAATAAATAAGAATATGTTTTTTGAAAACTGCAAGTTCATTAAAATATTTACCCAATGCAGTGTTTACACTTTGCTTTATCATTAGCAAAAGTAAAGTGCTCCCAAACTTCACTTCTTTTTTTTCTATTATTATTATCATCAACAGTTACTGTTGTTACATCTTCTGGTAGATCCGAATCATTATTAATAATAACGTTTGCCATTATAGTTCATAAAGTAATTGATTCATAAATTCATATAAAAAAATTCTTAATTCATAGAAGTTCTTAATTCATAAAAATTCTTAATTCATAAAATTCTTTAATTTGTAAAAATTGTAAAAATTAATTTTTTTTTTATAAAAATTTTTATTATTATTTATATCATAAAGTCTGGAAAGATAGTGCTCCGTGGCAAACCATAAAATTTACTAAAAAGGCAATGTCACAGAAGTGCTACTTTACGGTAATATCTTGGATCAGATTTCGGATTTCAGATCAGATCAGATCAGATTTCAGATCAGATCAGATTCAATATTTTAAAGAACCAGATCAGATCAGATCAGATCCAGTATTTGAGGAACCAGATCAGATCAGATCAGATCCAGTATTTTAAAGAACCAGACCAGATCAGATCAGATCCATTATTTTAAAAAACCAGATTGGATCAGATCAGCTTAAACAGATTTCAGATCAGATCAGATTTCCACCAAATCCGATCTGATCCGATCTGTTCGGAGCCTTACTATTTACAATTATTACTATGCTTAGACCACGTATACGATCTGATGTGCCTCTATTCACACCTGAAGATTATTCATATATTATGCAATGTCGTGATATAAAACCAAGATATAAAATTTTAAATGAGTTGATGGATAAGTATAGAACATCAACAAAACGTATTTATCAGATTTGGAGAGGAGAGGAATCTAATAGAGTTCTTTGGGATCAACCTATACCGAACTTATATGATGATGATATTGATTCTAATCAAAATACTAATGTATTAAATTCTGCTGTAAACGTCCTTCATATAGAATCGCAATCTTTAGATAGAGACAAAGTCCCATTACTATGCAAGCCATTAGGCGATGAAACGGGTATGAGTCAAAGACTCGAAGCTCAGCTTCCTCGAGACTCTGTCTCTTCTTCAAATCATAGTATATCACAAGATCCTGTACAGTTAATTAAGCTAACAAAAACAAAGAGATCTAAATCTGATCGAATATCTAACTTGTCTGTTATTGCCAATGACCCAATAGAAAAAATAGATAGAAGGCCCTTATATTCTACAGATACATTAGCCTCTTTTAGATGCGCAGTAGAAGAAGGTAAGGAAAATTTATCAAATTCGAAATATAAAATTGATGAGTTATAAACTCCGAATTTTGTCTATTCTATTGCAAAGCAATGGCTCTTTGAGCCTACTCTCTATTTTCTTTACCAGGTAATCCAATGTAGTGATAAACAAGAGTATTAAGATTAGTGATAATTTTTGTTGCATCATACATTTCTTTCTCATACCTCTCGCAATTTACGCATTTTTTTTTAACACCTTTGGTACTTGCTCTGCTAATGATGAATCGTCAGAATCTGGGATAAAACGCGCAGGAGCATGCCATTCCTCCAATGTTATATTGTCATCCTTATCACTATCCGTCTCTTGAGAAATTTGATCAGATACCGAAGACTTATCATTCTGAGATGCGGTAGCGCAATTTACTTCAAGATTATTTTTTACCTTGTGCATAGTTACTGGAATAATGTGATCCTTCCCATTGAAAGGAATTTTCAATTCATCTTTCCCCCAATCTATAGCGCATTTATATTTCTTGAGAAGTGGGTTTGGAAATATCAATGTTGGTTTAGGGACACGTACAACTACAAAATCTTCACGTATAGTAAAACCTGGAGGGAATGTTATTGGAAAATTACG